ATATATCTCGATTCCTAGACGTGACCCAGCGAAACGCCGGGACACGTATAACTTCTTTTTTACCGATATAACTTTCCCCGGTAGTTTGAACCCTTCCCGATCACTGACCCCTACCACTTATCTCACAGTGTATTTGAATTTCGCAACTAAACTTGGTCAGGTGAGTGTTGGCAAGTATTCGAAAGGTTTTAACTATCAGCCAAAAAAAAAATAACGACATTGGGCAAAATTGGGTCAATCTACTTAATATATATAAAGATATTTTTGTTACTATAGCTGGCCTATTTTTAATCAAAATTTACTACTTTTACTATGTTTTACAGCACGAGCGTTTTTGATAGACTCCGGGTTCTATATAACTTTCGATAAGCGTTTAGTGACTCTGAACGTCGATCCGGAGGAGGTCACAAATTGCACTTATCTGCTATCACATGAGTTCTGGAACAATAGTTTCAGTCTCTTCGTGGATTTTTTGGTACTAATGTCTACTTTGTAACTAATTTTATATTCACTAAATAAATACTTATTACAGTCCACCAGTGGAAACAAGGTGGTTTCTGGGACGAAATATACACTTATTGCCAAGGAACACTCGTTTGAAATTTGCTTTAAACCCGATGTAAGTATTCATGATCCTTCAAATTTGGTTGTATAATTAAAAAAAATATTTTCGTACTTGATGCACTACATAACTTATGAGCTATCGTGCAGATCGGACATATAAATTTCTCTGTTGTAAAACTCATAATTTGTGGTTTAACTAACAATAAAATTAGCCGAAATGTGGCATTCGTAGCGGTTGTTTACTTTAAACCAATCAAGCCAAGAAGTGCATAAATACGGGCCAAATAAGATTATAATAATAGCCAAAACTAACTTAAACGGCGTGGTAGGAAAGATTCTCTCGCGGCGAAATTGGACGAGAGCGCAATTCTTGCAACCGCTCTGTCTATTCTACGCGAACTGGAGAAGAAAATCCAACAACAGTCAGACAAGCTGCAGTCGTTCTTTGACAATTTGTCCGATAAAATAGCGGCCCGCAAAACCGGTTAGTGAAGAGAATAGAAGAAAAAGTTGCTGCTATTGCAGGTAAAGCTAACGAATCTGAGCGGTGTATGGCTGTGCTAGAGAGTGAAGTGGGCGAATTTAAGAGTAAAAGCCCAGTTAGTCCAGACTTAATTTTGGTAACTTAATTTAACTTAATATTTTGGCCATACCAGTCTTATTCTCATACGGTTCGGATTGCGACTGCTCTTTATTTCATATTTATTAGGATATATGTTTCGTTGCAAGTTTTTTTGCAATGCCCGAACCCAATTAAAAGTGAGAATTTTTGCTTTCCAGCAGTGTGAATATAATAACTTCATAATAGTATAGAAATTCGCGTCCGTCGCGTTCAACTTATTGTTACATTTTCTTCTCCGTTATTCTGCAAGTTTCTGTACTGCCCTCTTGATGCAACCATTCTTCGTACGCACTTCAGCCACACGCACTACGCCAGCTTCATCTGGTACGACCCGCTCAACACGGCCCATCATCCAATGCTTTGGAGGAGCGTTGTCTCCAGCTACTAACACCAAATCACCTACTGATTACGTTGCGGTTTAAACCACTTCGCCTTGCGTTGCATATCCTGCAGGTATTCTTTGCTCCATCGAGCCCAGAAATGCTGCTTCATGACTGTCAGACATTGCCATTGATCTCTAAGACTGACCTTTGCTGGTTCTTGTAGTGGTTCCGCTAATACATCCGGTGTGCTACCAATCAAAAATTGCGCTGGTGTTAGCACTTCTTCGTCATTAGGATCGGCCGAACATGTGCCCAACGGCCACGAATTCAAAATCGCCTCGATTTCAGTGGTTATTGTGCACAACTCTTCGAACATAAAGTGTGCATTACCCCCGTGCGCGTAAGGTGGTATTTAGCCGCCGCCTCCCACAGCCCGCCAAAATGTGAGGAGCGCGGCTTTATAGGTGAAATTCAATGCCCTTGACTGCGCAGAACTCGCTTATCTTGTGCTGCTGTTATTGGGAGAAGAACATCTGTTTCCACTCTTGCATTTCTCGCCGAACACCCACAAAGTTAGTGCCGTTGTCACAATAAAGGTGGTGACATAAGCCTCTTCGCGTCACAAACCGCTTGAGCGCTGCAGTAAACGCCTTTGTACTGAGGTCGGATACCACCTCAATATGTACCGCCTTGGTTGGTGCGTGCTCCTCGAAGTCGGACGGTGGTCAGAATAGATCCAAAAAAGTCAACACCAGTGGAGTAAAACGGCCTTGTTACTGCTACTCGTCTTGCTGGCAAGTGTCCCATAATTTACTCACAAAGTTTGGGCCTGGAAGGAAAGCAAAGTAAACATTGGGTGGTTACTTGTCTTACCAGCCTTCTCGCATTCACGACCCAGCACTGTTGCCTCAATATCGACATCGACGCCTGCGTAGCCACATGCATGTCGGTTTCGTGCAGATATCGTATATAAGTCCGCACAATTAGACTCTCAGGGGGCAACACAATTAGAAACTTCGCCTCATATGGTAGTTGCGATCTTGCGAGGCGGCCTCCGACACGCATCATGGAAACTCCAACGCTTGATGCCAGGAACACATTAAGTTTTTTAATTTGCTGGCGGGAGGTAATTCTTTGCTTCGCGCTAATAGTTTGATCTCCGCTTCAAAGTATTGCTGCTGTATGCAGTACATGATGCGCACCTCTCTCAACAGCTCCGCTCTCAGCATCGGTTCATCACCGCTGGTAACCAAGGTCTCGCGATTGGTTTTGCGCCGAAAGAAGTATAACAGATATGCCACTTTTCGCTGTATCTGCCCAAAATTACTACGCGACGCCGAACACAGCAGCACCTGATTTTTTCGATGCTCGATGGGTAGTGCCACTGCTCGCCTTTGTTCCATGTTTATTTCAGATGGTCGCTCCGAAATCTATTCGGTGGCAATTTGTCACACGTTTTCCTGAAAAACCCTGGGCCAGTAAACCAAATCGTCTCGATAAGCTCATCTGCAAATGCGCCGCGAGATGTAACATCCGCTGGATTACTCTTAGTTGGAACATACCTCCATAGTGCATTTTTTGTCCGCTCTTGAATTGTTGCCACTCTGTTTGCAACGAAAATTGACAGTTACGATGGATGCTTACTTAACCAATTTAGCACGATTTCGCTATCTGTCCACAAATAAATTGCATTCAATGAAACGACCAAGTTTTCTTGGGTTTTGGTTAATAACTTTACCAATAACTCAGCTTCAAGTAATTCCAAGTAAATCCAAAAGCGACTTAGTTCTTAATGGTGCCACTCTGGACTTGGCGCTCCACAGCGACACAGTACGGTGCGAATGTATACGCATGCCTCATAAGCCCGCAGCGACGCATCATAAAATCCGTGTAGGACCATTTTTCGCCAAAATATATCTTGGTACTCGTATATCTTTGACCAAAGGCAGTTTCTCGCGAAATCTGATCCACTGAACGTTACCCTTCAACGGTAGGGATTCATCCCAATGCCCCTTTACGATCCAGGGATTTTCCAAAAAGATCTTAACCTTTACGATTAAGGGGTTTATCAGACGGAGAGGATCAAACAGACTCGCAATTTCCGCCAGTATAATCCGCTTTGTTATGGGTTTGTCCATTTTCAGCTCCGGCCAATCATAACGAAACACATCGGAAGTGGACTCCCACATAATACCGAGAGTTTTGATGATTTCGGCGTCGTTCAAATGCAGCGGCTTCTCTTGATCATCCGATGGCACTTTCTTCAAAAATTCACTATTAGTCGAGTACCATTTACGTAGCTCAAACCCTGATTAAGTCTAAACTTAAAATCTCGCTGACCTCCGAGTTAATTTGTTGTAGCTGCTCATCAGATTATTCTCCTGATATCAGATCGTCCATATAAAAACCTATTAAACCTTTGTTTGCACCATATGGAAACTTCTCTGCGTACTGTGCACCAACTGCTTTTACGCATCTTGTCGCCAGATATGGCGTGGACGCCGTTCCGTACGTGATCGTCAATAAGCGATATAATTCGTTATCTTCATTCGGGGTTGGCCGCCACAATATACATTGATAAAACATTTTACATTTTCGTCACATCCGCTGTTATCGCATACATATAGCATCGAAAGCGCAACACGATCGCCAGCAAGTCATCTTTTACAATGGGTCCTTTGTACATTACATCATTCAAGGAGAGCCCCGATGAGGTCTTAAAACTGCAGTCAACATCACCCGCAGTTTAGTACTTGTAGATTCTGGCCGTAAGACAAACGTATGCGGTGCAAGGTACTTTACCTTTTCCCTGGAATCCCTTGGGACCAGTGCCATATGCCTCAATTCCAAATATTCGTCTATTAATGCATTATAAATTTTTTGGATTACTGGATTATTCTTTAGCCTCTTTTCAAGGAGCAAGAATCGCCATAATGCCGCTTGATTTTAGTCGCCTAACTCAGCGACATTTCCTTTAAATTGAATCCTTAACACGAAGCACCCAGTGTGATCACATCCAGATTCTCTGATAAAAATCTCTTCACACAGTGCCTCGTCCGCTGTTGGAAACACTGTTTTTGCATCACCCTGTTCCATCAGCCAAAATTTATCCACAATCAATTCCTCTTCGACACCTGGTTAAGCTGCTCCTAAGACTCTCGTTGGAGTCAGCTCGATTTGTCATACCTGACACGACCCAACCCAGCACAGTTTTCTACATGTCGCTAGGCTTGTTGAAATTCGGATCTGCCAATGATATGTTACTAGGGATGCCCCAATCATCTGCATTCATAAATTGGTCTAGTTTAAACGCGCCTTCATTTTGCATCGTAGCATGCGCAGCAACTTGACTTACCGTAGCAGCTTGCGTCGTGCCTGGTGCGTCGATCGTCTTCACCTCTACGTTGTTTTTATGCAGCATTTTATGGTGGTCACCGCCGCACTCTATACACCGTTTCGCTTGACAGCTACTGGCCCTATGCCCACTTTGCAAACACAAGAAGCACAGCATCAAATGTCGTGCTGTTTTGCGCCTCTGCGGAATCTTTTGAGCCTGAAATTTACGGCAGCTGTCTACGTTGTTCCCGTCCTTTCGACAAACTTCGCATCCACCTTTCTCTATAGGCAAAACGTGTTTCTCAACACCAATCGCCTTGCGATTATCTTTGCGACTCGCTTTGCCTCCATCGTCCTCGTTCTCGCCACAGCGCGCCGTTCTTTTCTCTCGAGCCTCCATATTTTCACATCTCTTAGTCAACACTGCAGAGCATTCATCCCAAGTGGATAGCCTTGTATAGTCGATAGATTCCTCCCACTTTGCCAACGATTGCGGAATCGCCGCCGCTGTAACGCTAAGCGCGCTTGCCTCGGCAGCAACCCGGCTTGCAGCCAGCTTTTCTTTTATTTTCGCCTTAGCTGCAACGTAAATATCCTCGATGTCTGCCATTGCCTTCTCGTGGGACTCACATTGAGTTGGAGCACACAGTCGAAGTATGCTGGTACTAACCGACAATGCCTGCTTGAAGTAGGCTTCCAAAATATCTCACCTGCAACCCAGCTCTTCGATAGGAACATTCTTCTTGCTGAGCGCTGTTTTAATTCCAGTTATAT